CTCCTCTCCTCTCCCTCCTCGCTTCCCCTCTCTGCGCGCGACCTCCCAGGCTTCCCAGCCGCTGTCCGCGGGCTCCGCGTGGCGCTGGCCGCCGGGCACACAGAGGGGCCGCGCAGTGAGGGGAGCTTGGCCTGGGGCCAGGGGTGTCCGTGGTTCCCCCCTCCCCCCGCCGGGATTCCTCGGGGAGAGCAGCTGGCTAGGGCGAGGGCCAGTGTTTCCACGCGCTGGAAGCCAGGGAGTTTCAGCTTGGAGCGGTCCCTCCAGTAGGAGGGCGAGCAGAGGCCCAGAGAGGGGAAGGGACTTGCCTAAGATCACACAGCGTCCCAGAGGCCGCACTGGGCAGGGGAGGAGTCGGCCTGGCTGGGCCCTAGCTCGACTGCTTCTTCGGATTCCGTACCGGGGCGGGTCTGCAGAGCCGCCCTGCTCAGGGCTCAGCCGGGCGAGGGCTCCACTCCCCACGCTCAGCCCCTTCCCTGGGGAGACCCCGTCCCCGCGGCCCCCACCCCGGCCCCCAGGACCCAGCCCCGCGCCTCACCGCTTATTAGACAGCTCGCGGGGACTATCTGCGAGCCGCCTCTTTCCTGCTAATTATCACTTTATGAAAAGTGTTTCATTAAGAAACTCTGCTTTTGATTAATTATCGACAGAATGCTGACCAGAAAGAAATGAAATTAATCTCTGACCCCGTCTGGGTAACACTGGAAATTCATCACATATCCTTTTAATATTGAAACACAGTGCAGAATTTTAATAGAAAATATTGTTTTTCCAAACCTCCAGTCTTTATTAATGCCCCTGGGCAGGGAATGATATTGCTGGCGATATAGCAGTCTTTGTTCATTTTAAATTTATTAAACATAATGCACTTCATTTTCAAACATTTTACTGTTTCTTTTTAATTTCACTCAGTGTAAGTACAGAATAAAACCTTTTTAAACATTTAAGATATTGAAAACCCATATACGGATATATAACGGAAACGCTCTGGCCATCAAATAAATTTAAGTAGAAGCAATTGTAATTTTAAGCTCCCAAGTATTATCCCCTTCAGACATTAAGGCAGTATCAGTAACCATCAAATCAGAGTGTGTGGAGGAGAGGTTGGGCGGCTCCCGTCCCCGTCCCCGGGAGACCTCGCCAGAAAGACTAGCCAGGGAGGGTGGGGCGGGCAGCCCTTGGGGCCTCTTCGGGCGGCGGGGGCGGGCACTGGCTCCTTCCCTTTCCTTGGCACCAGCAAAGTCTTCCCTTGAGGCCAGAGTGATTGTAAATAAGATGCCCCCACCTCTCTGGTCCTGTTCACCTGGATCGGGGCCCACTTCCCCCAGGGCGCCCCGCAGCCTGACACAGAGGCTTTCCGGGATGGAAAGGTGTTTCTTCCCTTTCTAGATCATGTCAGGCTCACCTCGACCCCAGCCAACATGCCACCAGGCCTGCCCCACAGAAGTGGGCTGTGGGAGTGTTCCCAAGCCCTGGGGAGGGGGCCTCCACCGAGATCGTGTCCCCGACCCCTCCTTCCGGCCCCCACATCTACCCCCAGACCCAACCCCCCAGCGTAACTCGCACCCTCATCCCCTTTCCCGAGGAATCCAAACCCCGGTTTAATGAGTCGTGAAGTGTGAGAACTTCCGGAGCCTGCAGCGCCCCTGATGCCAATTCCAGATGTGCGAGTTGGGAGGGGTGGGCCTCCCGGCCGGTGAGGACCCAGCTGCTTTGGTCAGAGCGAAGCGTCCAGGACCCAGGTTCCAGCGATCTGGGCCCTGAATTGGAAACAGGCAACTTCTCCACTGAGAAATTACTCTTTTTATTTCTTGTAGTGTTCCTGGTGCCCTATTTCACGGCACCAACAAACGGGATATTACTTTTAAAACACTATGAAATACCAGGTCCTGTCCTCGGAGCTATTTCGGAGGAATTCAATTTTCGCTGAATGGTGAGAAGCTCCAGCATTTCTTTTGGGGGCAGATGGGTGGCTCAATGGGAGAAAGAGGAAAATTTTCAGGACTGTCTTGGCATTCCAGAGAGACTTGTGGGTGTCAGGACCACACAGTGGCACTCCTGCCCCCACCCAGACTCACACAGGCACCTGCACACCTTGTAAACGTGTCTTAGATGGAACCACACACCAGGCACCCTGTAACAGCCAGCCCTTGTGCCAGTAACACTCTTTATTACCCGGGACTCAAAGTCTGGCCTTGTCTCCTAGGGACTGTCTACAAGGTTATCTGTTATCTATCATCCGTCTACCAGCAGGACCTGCCCATCCCCCACGGCTCCCCTTGGTGTTTCTTAATGTCTTGGAGAACAGTTACTCTGAGCCGCTAGGGAAAAAAAAAAAAGTTTGCCTTACCATTCTTCCCTCCCTCCCATCTTTTTCCTCTTAGCAAATGTTCCATCCTCTTGACCTCATGGGGCATAACTTTCCAGTGCTGCCTTCAGGACTGGGGAATGCAACGGGGAAAAATAGGAGACTTTTTTCGTTGTTTTTGCTGAAAATCTGAAGCCCTTAGTCGGAGCTGAGATCACCGACCCCTCTTGCTTCTAACCAGTGCAGTAGATGACTACGAACAGGCAGCTGGGACCAAGGATAGCAGCTTCCAGCAGCTTTCCAAAATGCCAGGGTCCCCAGTCCCCAAGTCCTGGAGAGATCATTCAGCCTTCTTGGAAATTTAGCTGGTGGCTCCACCCTGGTCCCACAGCCTGGGCTCCCCTCGCCAGGTGCTGGGAGGCCTGTGAGATCCACCTGAGTATGTAAGGGAGAGATGAGACCTCCTCTTGTCCCCACAAACAAGAAAGAAGCTAGCAAGAGTCACTTGGAAATAATATCAGATTCCCCACTGCCCCTTCCACCACACTCTTCCTCCTTCCAAGTCCTTTCCCTGCGTCGAAGGTGGAGAAGCCGGGTGGAGCCAGGAAGGGCTGATGAGCAGTTTGGAGGGCCACACCCAGGAGCAAGCCTCTGTCTCACCCGGGCATGGCCAGGGAAGAGCCCCACAGAGATCAGAAAAGAAACAGCTGCAGGCGTGATCTGTGAGTTTCATTTTTCCACTTAAAGACAAAACAGGCCCAGATTGTCACTGGAGGTGCCTCGGCGGCACCGTTTCCAGCTGCCTTCGGCACCTTCTGAGCCTTTTGGCTGCAGCTGGCTAAACCCACGGTGGAGTGTCCACAGCTCATGCCTGCTCCGATCAGGAGATCTAAACCAGGACAGGGAATCCCCTCAGCACTGACCCTACCTGGGTTCCCTGGGCGGCAGCCCCGCAAATACCCACTCTCTCCAGTTTCCCATCAACTATTACTTACGAGAGTGTAGAGTTAGGACTCTCTGTCTCTCAAAAAAGGAAAGATAACAAAGCGATTTAAAGATAATTAATTGCATTAAACTATTGACTAACTACTTCGCTCAATAGTAATTCATTTAGAGAATATTAAAATCTGAGGAACAATAATAAAATTGATGCCAATTCCCACGGGGAGGGAGATGGCCAGCAAATTGGATACTTTTCTTAATCTGGCGTAAATAATAACACGCCTGCTTCCTTCTCTCTCAGGCCAATTCCCCTATCATTTATTCCAGACTCTAAAGCTGGGCTTCATAATTGATATCAGTTACTCAATGAGTGCTTTTTCATTTGTTCTTGTTATCCGTGATAATTGCGAAGTTCAGCCTCTCCGAGTTGGGCCGGGCAGGGAGGGCAGAGGCCAGGCTGGGAGGGGGAGGCTCCGCTGCTCCGCGTTTTTCCGGTTTGAGGACACGGAGAGGCCCACAGTCCTGACCTGGGCGGTGCTGGCGGACAGGGCCAGGTCTTCTCCACGCAGATGCCTCTGGAGCGCGATATCGGGAAGAAACACTTCGTGGCATGCCCAGGGTTAAGAGCTGAGGCGACAACCCGTTTTTGTTTGAGAAGCGGTGGGTAGAAGCCATGAATCCCACACGACATCTGGGGACCAAACGCCCTGGGCCAGGAGGATGATGTGGGAGAGGAAGGAAGAGGGGGTCAGGGGAGGGACATGGCTGGAAACGTCCTTCCCGGCGCCTCCCCCCGACCCCGGGGCCTGAGCGCCGGACCACACAGGCCCCCGCAGGCCCAGATACTCCGAGATGACGATTTCGTTATTTATTCACTTATTTATTCATTTATAAAGTGTTTACTTAGCTCGGTGCAGATGTAACATCTCATTTACAGCGTGGCCTCCGGGCATAGAAACAATTGGCAACAAAAGAGTAACTCCGGAGAATTAAAGAAAAAAAAAACAAAACAAAACAACACACAACAACAGGCGCTGAGGGTGGGGGGAGCGCTCTGAAGAGGCGCTTGGGGCTCCGAGCGGAGGAGCCTGAGGACGCGCCTGGCCAAGGCTGCGGAGACCCCCCCAGGCCCCTCGAAGGAGCCGCGGGCAGCCCCTCCCGAGGAGGTAGTGGAGGCCGAGGGAAGTCGTTGGGTGCCGGGCCCAGGCTGTGCCGGCCAAGGCTGCGGAGACCCCCCCAGGCCCCTCGAAGGAGCCGCGGGCAGCCCCTCCCGAGGAGGTAGTGGAGGCCGAGGGAAGTCGTTGGGTGCCGGGCCCAGGCTGTGCCTGAGGGCCAGGGATGCGCAAAAACTAGGGGCTGGCGGCGCTTCTGCAGCGGCCTTCACCGAACCTCTGGAACGGGTTCAGGCCGCGGGCGCGTGGGTGGGACCTGCGGGAGACTCGCAGGCGGTGGTGGCCAAGGGGGGTCAATGAGCTGGCACCACGGGTGGTCCTCTCTGCTGCAGTCGGGGCAGCCCCACGGGGTCGCGCACTCCCGCTTCACTGCTACCCGTGGGGGCGGCTTCATCCTGGCCTCACCAGCCTCCCGGGAGTCCCTCCCTGATTCCAGCCTGGGGGCTCAGAGGTCCTGTTGGGTGCGTGTTCATCCTGGGCCCTGGTGTGGGGGGCGCGCAGGCCTCAGGGCTGCCTGCCTCCTGCCTCCAGGCAGCGCTCCAAGCTCTCAGCCAGTCCTTGGGGCCGCGGGATCCCAGCCCCAGCAACTGGGGAACTGAGGCCCGCAGCGCCAAAGCGTGAAAGGCAGCTCTGAGGGGGTCAGAGGGGCGGAAAGGGGAGGCGGGCCGCACCACCCCCGACCCTCAGAGCCTGGAGCGCGTGGAGGGCGTGGACCGCTTGGACCACTCCGGGTCCCCCACCGCCGGGCGTGTCTGCCGTGGGTGTCATTGGGCGCCGCGCAAAAGGGGCTTCCGAGGACCCGCCCTTCCCCCGCAGCCGTCAGGGCGCTGACGGAGGCAGCTGCGACTGTTTAACTGGGAGCCGGTTGCTTGGCAACCCGAGGCGGCTCATTACCGCGGCCACAGTGATTAACCAAAAAAGAAAAAAAAGGGGGGGGGGGGGGAGAAAAATATAAGAAAGAAAAAAAAATAGGGGAAAAGCGGGAATATGAAAGTAAAATGGATTATTTAATTAGCTAATTGATAATCAACTTCTTTTTAATTATTCACTTAATTAAAAAAGTGTAACTACAACACTGCCCTCATCAAGCTGTGGATGCAGTGGCAGGATTTCAAAGCCACCTCTCCCTCCGGTTCCAGCTCCGCGCGGGAGCCGCGCTGGAGCAACTTTCCTCCTCCCTCTTTATCTCCAGCCAGGGCCTCACCCTTAGGAGAGGGGGATTGAAAACATATTCTTCTCCAATAGCCAGGACAGCTCCACCCACCGGTGTCCAGGGACCTTCCCAGAGGGGGCCTGGGCACTCTCCCCTCCGCCCCTGCCTCAGTTTCCCCATTTACAAGACCTGATTTCGGTGCTGAGGTGCATGTGGGAAGGACAGTTTGGGTCCTTCATGGAACTGGTGTTCTGTGCAGGAGGCAGGCAGTGGTCCCCTGGAAAATAGGAAAGGAGAGGATAGTGTTTGGGTCCCTGCGCCAGCTGTGAGCACAGCCGGTAGGCGTTCCCCACACCGGCGGGCCTGCCAAGCAGGGAGGTCAGCACAGGGATGTGGGCCAAAGGCTCCACTGTGCCGGGGTTTTGAGTGGAATGAGAAGCTGGAGGTCGCTGGGGCTGGGGAGGGCGAAACCGTGGTGTCACCCTGTCTCTGGGACAGGTGCTTGTGGGGCTGAGGGGAGCTGCCTCTCCTAGCACTGTGCTCCTGCTCTGAGTCATCCACACCCCACATCAGCCATGCTAGGGCAGCCTGGTGCTAGGGCAGCCTGGGCCTCTGGCTGGGCTGGCTCTGACAGAGCTCCCATGGGATGGCTGGGCCTCTGCTGCAGTTGCAACCATGCTGTGTGTTAAATTCTTCCTGGGTCCAATCCTGCTTCCCTCCCCTAAGCCTTTTGCACACCACAGAGGCTATTTACCGGGAAAGCCACATTGAGGCAGAGCAGGCAGCTTCCCGGCCGGAGACCTGGATGGTGGAGATGGTGTGGGTGGAGTCAGGACTGCTGGGGGAACTTGCTGATGAAGTGGGTAGCTGGGATTACAGGTGCTCACCACCATGTCTGGCTAATTTTTGTATTTTTAGTAGAGACAGCGTTTCGCCATGTTGAGCAGGCTGGTCTCGAACTCCTGACCTCAGGTGATCCACCCACCTCGGCCTTCCAAAGTGCTGGGATTACAGGTGAGAGCCGTCGCGCCCAGCCAGAGATAGAGTTTTGGTCTTTTATCCAGGCTGAGTGCAGTGGTGTGATCTCAGCTCACTGCACCTGGCCAGGGCACAGTCTTACAGCTGACGGAATCTGCCCCTCATCGGTCCTTGGGCAGCTGTGTGGAAGGACCGGGAGTGGAACAGTGATTGGGGAAGCTCTCTGGGCAGTGGTTGGGGAAGTAGGGACTTTCTGGGCAGGACACTTCATTTCTGTAGGGAGCAACCATGGTTTACCACACATCACCTGGGGCTTCCTTGACCTTATCAACAGCAAGGAGGAAGCAGGAGAAATTCAGCGCTGGACTTCTTGTCCCCAACTTCATTTCCCTCTGGCCAGACTTCTCCTAGGTAGTTTTGGGGACCTGCATTTGGAGTCATACTGGCTTCTAGGTGCCCCACTCTGAAAGCTGAGGGGATACAGCTGGCTGTGGGGTCACCAGGGACTCAGCGCCGTGGCAGAGGGTGCCTGAGCTCCTTGGGCTTAACCTTTGCAGACCCATGTGGGGCGGTGCTGAGTACAGGGGGGATAACGTACGTCAGGGGCTGAACTATGTCCCCCTCGATTCACACGTTGAGGTCCTAACCCCCAGGACCTCAGAATGTGCGGGTATTTTGAGATGGGGTGTTTAAAGATGACTCAGATAAAACAAGCTCCTGAGGGTGGGCTCTAATCTAATAGGGCTGGGCTTCTTATAAAGAAAGGAGACTGGGACGCAGACTGGTAGAGCGAAGACCCTGTGAGGACACAGAGAAGCTGCCGCCTGACACAGAGAGGCAGGCCCTGCCCACACCTGGACCTTGGCCTTCTGGCCCCCAGGACCCTACAAAGTCAGTCTCAGCTGTGTAAGCCGCTCCGTCTGTGTGTTTGTTACAGCAGCCCCAGAAAGGTAAGAAGACACATATGGCAGAGAGGGACCAGCCTGCCACAGATGAGGCGCCCAGCCACTGACCCCTTTGCAAGTGGGTGCATGGGTGCTGGGACCTAGGGTCCCCACTTTGGGATGGGGGTTCTGACATCCTTACTGGGGAAGCTGCTCCCTTGGCTTCTCCAAGGTTTGGAGGCAACTGTTTTCCTAAAATACTAAGGTCAGTGTGACCTTTAGCTTCTCTGCTGGTCAAGCAGCTCAGGACAGAGGAAGGGGTCCCTTGCAGCCCTGTCTGGCAGTGAGAGCTGTCCACCCCCAGCTCCTCTCTGGGCAGGAGGTGAGGCTCTGGCCTCTTCTCAAACCCCAGGCTCTGAGTCGGCCATCGACTCATGGCAGGCAGGGACAAAGCTGTGGCATGGCTGTGGCCTCAGTTCCTGAGAAGGGGGCTGGCATGTGGGGCGGGCGGCAGGCTGTTCCTGCATCTAGCTGCAGATTTATGTAAATATGGAATTTGGTCCCAGTTTTTCCTTCTCTTTCCCTCCCCTGCCCTGGAACATCATGGGTATTAGAGCTCGTGGGTTGGTGGATTTCTGCAGCCTGTCAATGAGCGACGCTTAATTCTCAGGCAAATGTCTACTTATCTCACTGTGCGGTAGGCTTAGGCCTCTGAAAGGGATGGCCTGACTCAGGCTGGGAGGTGGTGGGAGGGAATTGGGGGAGATCCGAGGGGTGGGGCTGTGGCCACAGAGAAGCGGGGGTGGGGATGTGGGCAGGTGACCCACACCTGTGGTCTCTCAGCTCCATGTCCACACAGCTGTCGCAGCCAGGCCGGCCTCTCCTTCGTGGTGCCACTCCCTTTGTCTTTCGAGGGCTCAGCTCTCCTGTCTGAGGGCAGCCATGGGGAAGAGGCCGGTGGCTCAGGCACGAATCTGTACCTTTGCCGGGAGGCTAGGCTGTCTGTCACCAGAGCTCAGCCCCTGTGGCCTGTGGGCAGAATTCTGTCCTGAGCCCACCTTTAGTTCAGAAAGATGCAAGTGACAGGCATGTGTGAGGCTCAACTCAGGCCTCAGAGTCTGGTCACCCACAGGGAGCCAAGCCTCCCACCCCCGCCCCCAGGGCAGGGACAAGGAGCAGGGAGCCGGTCTTGCAAGCTGGGAAGACCAGCTCCGACATCGACATCGTAGAACTCCCAGCAGGTGTGGGCCAAGGCAGGCTTCCTAGAGGCCCGGCAGAGCCAACAGGGGCCACTGACCATTCAGAGGGGCTTTAGTTCAGTGAGCCGAGTAGAGGAGGGTGGGGTGGCCTGGCCAGCAGTGCTGTCAGCTCTGATACCGGGACTCTGTGAGCTCACAGTGGCGTAGGTGGGACCCAGACCCCATTCTGCAAGAATAGAAATTTCCTGGACACCCACTCCTCATCTTCACAGGGGCCTGGGGGTCCTCAAAGTGGGGTGGCCCCTGGCCCTTGGCACCTGCCTCTCCCCCCCCACCCCCTCCTCCCCTGGTTTCAGAGTCACAGGAACCACAAAATTAGTTCTAAAAAAATTACCCCTTCATTTTATCACTAATCCCATAACTCCCTTAATTAAGTCAATGGTAGCCTAAATTGTTCTAAACATCTTTTGGGGGATTAGATATTTTAATCATCATTATCCAATGAATATTTGATTATATAGCCATCATATAGTGAAGAGTAAAAATTATAATCCAAAAAAAGGCATTTAATAACACTTTAAATGACTAGGCGTTTGATAAAGGGCGTTAGGGGATTAGGTGCTGGATTGAAAGACTGGATCGAGCTTCCCAGTCAAGGACTCCAGCTACCATCTTATTTAAAAAATAAGACCACGATTTAAGAAAAAGGAAAACAGAAACCCAAGCTGCCTCGTCTTCTCCCATGCCAGCCCCCTCTGCCTGAACAACAAGGTGTCATATGTGAACAGCTGTTTTGGAAATTATTCCTATAAATATCATTGGGTTCGGGGTTTCCACAGAGTTTCATGGGAGCCCTTGAGTTGGCTGATGAGGTGCAGAGTCTTGGGGTTAAATTGGGTTGTGAGGGTGCCACAGTGAGGTCCAGTATACCCACGTCTGGGATGAGGACACTGAGGTCTGTGACGGGGATGCTGAGGTCTGGGAACTTGAGCTCCTTCTGTGACCTGAAGTGCTTGCCCAAAGTGACTGCCCCCAGCCCTGCCTGGCCCCCTGCAGTCCAGCGTCTGATGCCACTCACACCATCACAGACAAGACTGCCCCTCTCCCTGCCCAGCACCCACCATCCCAGGCACTTTCGCCTGCCCCCCAGAGGCAAGGCCCTGCTCCACCCCCAACCCTCCCGTGCTGCATCTGCAGCAGGCAAGGCTGCCCCGCCAGGCCCCTCTATTGACGTCTGCTGAAATCATTTGAGACAAAGTTACTGCACAGGCATTAGAGCCACTTTTCAGAGCGAAACATCTGTCATTTAGCGCGATGACGCTATGGGGACGGCACTTTAGAACAATCTTGTTGCATTTAATTTATTTTCTTCCAAATACTGCAGAGAAAAGGGCAACTTCCTAGGAGCTGAGCGTGGACAAATTCAGCTCCTGTGGGGGGGAGGAAGCCCCCGTCCAACAGCAGGACGTGGCCTCCATCCCCCTCAGCCCTTCTCACCCACCGCTGGCCGATTGATTTATTCCCCTGCAGGCTGCCGGGGGGCCACCGTGGGAACGAGGACAGACTACCTTCCCAGTGCCCTGCAAAAAAGGCATCGTTCTGCTGGGGCAGAGATGGGGGCCAGGTGCACTGAAATCTCAGCGTAGTGGGGCAGGGGTGGGCAGTGAAAGCCCACAGGGAGCCGTCCTCTCCCACCTGTTATCCCCTCCTCCCAGCACCCAGAGCCTGGTCCTCTAGGACCCACATGTCCCTCCTTCAGCCTGAGAAACTGCAGAGCAAGCGCCCTGCCCAGTGTCTCCACCACCAGGAGCAACCAGGAGATGCATCCTGAGGGATGCTGGAGAGTTCAAAAGTCCTTTCCCGGCCTCATGTCCCAGCCCTGTTGACACCTCTGAGAGGCTGATAGAGGGGCGCTGTTTTAGAGGAAGCAGAAACTCAGAGAGGTGTGGATGCTTGCCCAAGGACACACAGCTCTGTGGCCCTGCAGCTGGGTGCTTCCGTAGAGTGCTTCACCTTCAGGGTGGAGGGACTGGCCCTAAGATGGCTGGGAGAATGTGGGAGTAGGGGTGGGGGCTGTAAGGGGCCACAGGGGGAGGCACCTGCCTGAGAAGTTCCTGCTTCTCCACCCTCGTCCCTCCTTGTGGGGTCTCAGGGCAGTTCCGAAGCTCAGGTTTTGGCCTCCTTGTCTATAACATGGGGGTGCTGACACTGGCCTCAGAAGGGCCACCACAGACTTCACCTCTGGGTCTGTGAATACACAGTTCTGGGATCTCCCTGTGCTGCGGAAGCCCCTCCTCCCCTGCCCCTGGGGCAGGACTGGCCTGGCCTGGGGCACATTCTGGTGACCCCAGCTCCAGTTGCTCACTGGTCTGGGGCCTGATCTGAGGGCAAGGCTCTGTGGTGGGCGCTGGGATAAAGGGGAAGGGCAGAGTGCCTGCAGCCTCTCCTCCAGGCGACATCCCTGATGACCCTGGGTTGGAGCACAGAGGAAGTCAGTCCTCAGCTCAGGGGTGCAGAGGTTTGGGGGCAGAGGAAGAGAGAGGGAGGCACCAGGTGAGCACCTCCTCATTGTCCTCGGCCAAAGCCCTGGGCTTCCTGGGAGACCTCCTGCCCTCTCCTCTGTCCCATGAGGCCCTCAAAACCCAGATAAGGGCCAGGAGGAAGAGGCTGGTGCTGTGTGCCCAGCCAACCAACCCTGCCCCATGGCCAAGCCTGGTGTCTCTCTCCTGAGGTTGGGGTGCTAGGAGAGGAGCAGCTCAGGCCCCCAGGGCACACTAGGCTCCCTTCATCTCGAGTTGCATCCTCCAAAGGGGCTAGGGTCCCAGCCCTACCAGTGGGCAGGTGACAGAGCAGGGCACGGCAGCCTGCAGGAAGACCGTTTTCCTCCTGTCACTCATGTTTGACTTGAAGGGTTGGTTCCAGCCCAGCTGAGCCAGCCCAGGGCCCAGGCACTTCCCAAGCACTCCGTCTCCCATCAAACGGCATGAATAATTTAGTCTCTAATTAAAAGTGAGGTCAAGCGATGAAAAATGGCTGGACGCACAGTGGCACGTGATGCATTAAATTGCTGGCAGATCAGAGGCAGGTGGGCCGGGGGGCTCTGGTTTACACACCAAACCTCCCAGGCTTCCACTCTGGCATCCAGAAGCAGGGTCCAGCCTGGGGGAGAGTCCCCAGGTGAGTGAGAAGCTGCTGGACAGAGCCCAGAGAGCCCTGGGCCAGCCTTGCCCTGACTTCACCTCCACCACACCCCAAGGGGCTCCTCTCCAGCCTCCCAGCCTCCCGACTTCCCACGCACACCAGCTCGTCCTGCCTGAGTCTTTGTGGTTCCTTCTGGAACACGAATCCCCCTGGTGTCTGTATGGCGTGCTCCTGAGATTCAGTGAGGTCCCTGCTGGAGGTCACCTTGCCTGCCAGGCCCAGCTAAAATGCCACCAGCCACCTCCTGCTTCACTGTCCCGTGAACCCCCAATTCACTTCTCCCCCATACCTTGCCAGCACTTCTCCCTACTTGGGGTTCATTCTAGTTTATATTTGTTTACTTGCCCAGTGTCTGGCTTCCCAACATAAGGGCAGGGTCTTGGCTTGGTCCCCCTGTGCATCTGTCACCAAGGATGGTGCCCAGTATACAGTAGGAGCATAATAGTCTCCCTGAGCATAGGGGCCCCGTGCGGACAGGAGCGCAGAGCATGGGCTGAGCTGCAGGGTCCTGCTGGCTGATCCCTTCCTCTCTCCTGGTCCGTGGGAAGGTGGGACTGGGTAGAGCTCATCCTCAATGTCCTACCTGTGCCAGGCTACTGTCCCCCCGTCTTGGGACTGTCACAAGAGGACAGCTTGAGGAATGCTGCAGTGAGAGGCTGGTGCAGC